GCAGACTAGTACTCATGGAACCCTGGGCTGACCAGAGTACTGCCTGAGTGCATTCTACCAGGTGACAGAGACAGGCCAGTATAATGCCTGAATCCTTACAAAGTCTAACAAATGCTTGACAGCAGGGATGCTGCTGTTTGGAGTGAGACCAGGAGAATCGCTCTCTAATCTAAGAGAAAGTGGGTCATGAACAAGTCATTTTTTTTTCCTGTAGACTTTACTATATAAACAACAGTCAAAACGCAATCTGCCTCTGTGAATATGATTTCCTATTTATTCCTTTCAAAATTGGTGGCAAGGGTGGGTGCTCCATAGCATCCTCTCCTTGGGGGTGAAACAAATGGGGCTAGTTCTTTGGCTGAGCCGACTGCAGAAAAACAGTCGCATTATCGCCAGTACCAAGTGAAGCTCTCAGACAGCAGTTATCCTTGGCAGAGCCTGGCAGTGTGTTGTTATGGAATTCACAAGCTGCCTTCCCCCCAGGTCCTGGTGAGGGATGTGGCTGAGATCTAAGAACCAGGAAGCCTTATCCGCAAACCAATGTGTCCCTTGGCAGTACATCACAGCCGGGGGCTCCTCTGCTATGGATCAGAGCTCCAGGTCAGAATTCCAATAGGGTGTCACCTCCCATGCAGTTGGCACAATGTAGCTGTTGGCAGTGTTTCTTTCTACCCAGCAAGATAAGGTCTTGCCAAACCCATTTGGGCTGGTAATCTTTGGCGATAAATTTCTCTTCTCCCAGGGTGTTAACTGTGAAGAAACACAGAACCATAAAATGTTGGGGCTCAAGGGGACCTTTGAGGTTATCTATTGAATGCAGGTTTGCAGTTTCACAGATGAAAAACTGAACAGTAGAAACAATACAAGAAGTTGGGTGTGGGTCTCCCAGGGTCTTCTTGACCCGGAGAGAATCCTCCAAGTCATTTCACAGGAATGAGTTTAATGGAATGGAATCTTGACTCATTTAGCTAGGTTCAAACCAGGTGAAAATGTGGAACTACTATATAGAGAGTTAGCAGCAGTTATGAGACCCTTCCTACAGTTTTCTCCTGCTCCAGCTCTCTTTCTACCTCTCCCCAGTTTCCAGAAGAATCTGGAATGAGCCAAGGATGCAGCTGTGTTGGTAGAGTGCTTGCCCAGCATGCATGAAGTCCTGCATTCCCCAAACCATGGTTAGCATGCTTGTGGTCGAAAAGGATCAAGAATGATCTTCAGTTACATGGAGATGTCATGACCAGCCTGGAATGAATGAGATTCTGTCTATAAAGTGTGCATGTAGTGTGTATGTGTGTGTGTGTAGGGGGTGTAATGCCTTGATGGTAGTGTGATAGCATGCTTGCCTGGCATGGGTAAGACCAAACCGTGTAAGCATACAAGCTTACACATAGAATCTGGGTCTGGGGTTTGTGTGGGGTGACTTACCCCATGGTTTGCTGTTAGAAGTGATATACTTCTATTGTTCGAGCTAAGGTCCTCCTTGTGTAGCTTAGATTTGCCTCAAATGCATGAGCCTCCTGCCACAGCCTCAAAAGAGCTGAGCAATGGCAGGCACATGCCACCACACCCATTGCAGGAGTGAAATCGTTCTAAAGAGAACCTTGATGTTCACTTATAACCTAAAAGAGCTAAAGCTGTATGGGCACGCTGCACTGTCTTTGCTGCTCTCTGAGACCCTGCTAGGGTTTAGAGTACAGCCTTAGCTGTGGGCTGGAGGGTGGGGAAAACTGAGGTGGGATTCAGGTGAAAACATCTTTTATTCACCAGTGTACTTTTACATAAGAGTGACCCCTGCTCCCTGTGAGCAAGCTGGAAGGACTGTGCGATGAAGTCTCCCCAGGAACAAAGTTAAAGACCCAATTTTTAACATTTCCCTGAGGGTGTGTGTGTGTGTGTGTGTGTGTGTGTGTGTGTGTGCTCTTGGAGAGTATACAATCTAGCTCTGGAGCACAAGGCTGGAAGGCACTGGGAGATGGATTGCAACACAGTGATTGCAGAGATTGGGGCGCAGGGTCTGTTTACCATCTCTGGTCGCTGGGGCCAGCCTGAGCCCTGGGACAGAGGGTTGAGGCACCGCATACTGTTTAGTTTTCCTGTCAACTGGACACTGACTAAGGTCACCTGGGAAGAGGGAACCTCAACTGAGAAAAGGTCCCCATCAGATCTGCAAGCTTCTGGTGCATTTTCTTGATGCCTGATGGATGCAGGAGGCCCCACGCTCAGTGGCTAGTGCTACTTCTGGTGCAGGTGGTCCTGGATGATAAACTAAAAAGCAAACTAGCAAGCCATGAGAGCAGCCTGTAAATGTATTCCCTGCAGGTTCCTGCCCTGCTTGAATCCAGGCCTTGGCTTCCCTTAGTACTGGGGACTGCAATAGGAACCAGCAAGCCAAAAGAGCCCTCTCCTCTCCAGCTCACTTTTGGTCGTGGCACTTATCACAGCAATAGAAAGCAAAATAGGACAGGTATTAATGGCACAGCAGCCCAGATCTCTCCCGAGCTGTAAATCACCTGTTCATGCTTGTTTGGCCTTAGAAACAAAACCAAACCTGCAAAAACAGCAATATGACCACGGTAGGGACTGGGGAAGCTCAAACCTTACAAATGTCTCCAATCTCCTTTTCTCCAAACAGCTAAATCTGTAAAGCACCAGGTAGTCTCCATCAGTGTGGTCTAAGGACATCACAAGATGTCCAAGGTGCAGCCCACCCACACAGGCTGGTTTCTAGTGGTGAAAAAGGCTTGCAAAAAGTAGCCGGTTCCTAATTTGCTTAGAGACACAAGTCCACACTGTTTACCAGCACAATAGGCACAAACCTAGGGAAAAGAGGCATCCTTTGCCACTCGCTGGGCTATTGCGCTCTGAGCTTCCTAATCTCTCCTGTTAAAGGGAGCAAAGGTGCAGCCACTTTCCTAATCAGAATAGCTCTACACACACACACACACACACACACACACACACACACACACACACACACACACACACACACACCGCTCCTGCTCCTGAGCGCTAGAGAGGCACTGGGGTGCAGTTGTGCTGTCAAGGAGTCTGCGTGAATTTCCTAGTCAGATCCTGTCCCCTGACGTTCAGTGAGAGTAACTGCAGTTCAGCTCAGCAGCCCAGCAAAAGTCTTTCCTGCTGGAAATGGGTCTGGGAGTTTCAACTACTGGAGTTGCTTTGGGCTGAGCTACTTTCTAGTGGGTAGAGTGGCTGTCTCTCAGCCTGTTTGTTTGCTTTAGAAACAGAGAAATAAAACTGACTCTTTCTCATTGTTCTTCGAAGATCCAGAGTTTACACAGAGACTAAGCAAAATCCAAACAACCTCTAATTTCTTAAATTAAAATTTCATGAATTAAAAATAACCGTGTTTTACAGAGGATGGGGAAATGGCTCGGGGATTAAGAGCACCTGTTGTTCTTGCAGAGGATGCAAGTTCAACTCCCAGCACCTTCAGGATAGCCCACAGCCATCTGCAACTCCCATGTCAGGGTTCTGACACCCTCTTGTGGCAAGCACACACACATGGTATGCAGACAAAAACCCATACACTCAAGTCAAACATTCAAAAGCATTACAAATAATAATGCTTTACTTAGCACATGCAAAAATGGGTTCACATACACTATGCTCCTCACTCCCCCAAATAGCCCGTTTTCTGCTATTGTCACATGCACGAGTACACACACACACACACACACACACACACACACGCACGCACACACCTGCATGCTGTCTATCTGGGGCTTGACCTTGCCACATGCAGTAGAAGTCACATTTATCTCGGGGCATGAGTCCAAAGGCAAAGTTTTGGGCCCACAAGACAAAGGATGCCCCTTCTTTTAAAGGCTTCTAAGGCCAAGTGTGGGCTGTATCGTGAGGGAGCAGGGTTAGTTCGTATGTGACCCACAGAGCATACGTGAGTGATGAGCCACAAAGATACTTGGAGGAAAAGTGGTTTGAAGGGCCTGGGTACTCACTCTATCTGTGCATGTGTAGTGGAGTTGAAGAAATTTGTGTCTGGACTTTATATTTAAAAAAAAATATACCATAGTATTTGTATTGATTCTTTGAGAGTTCCATGCAATATATTTTGATCATAGTCACTCCTCACTCCCACACAGCTCCTCCCAGATCCACCCCTCCTCCCTTCCTACGCCCCCACCGCTTCATTTCCTCCTCCTCCATCTCACAGCGGATAGTGCCCTGGTCCTCTGGCTCTTACAATCTTTCCACCCCTCTTCTGCAGTCTTCCCTGGGCCTTGGGTGTAGGAGCTGTGTTGTGAATTGGTTGGTGACTCTTGCTGTTTTCTGAATTTTGACCAGTTATGGGTTTCTAGAGTGCTTTCTGTCTGCTACAAAACAGGAGGTTCTTTGATGAGGGGTGAGAGCTACACTAATGTAGAAGGAAGCTATAAAAGACACAGGTGTAGGTCTTTCTGAAGTGTCTGGTGATCTTTGACTGTTTATACCAGGGACAGAATACAGAAATCCGACTGGGCATCTTGTGCCAGGGGTGGAGTTGGATAACTCCTGCTTCTCTCTGGGATGATCTGGATAAATGGTCATCAGCACCCAGTCAAAGTCGGGGTCTTTGGTGTTTTCTTTTCTCTGGATAGGATTAGACTAGACATTTAGAGATGTTTCTCTGGACTGTTGCCTGGAAAATGTGAGACTTGCTTCTCTGCAAGTGTTCACTTGGCCCCTTTGCAGGATGATAATATGATTTCTCTTAGTTACTTCTGCTATCTCTTGGTCCTAGTGGCCCATCTTTTCTAACATATCCATGTGATCTACTTCCAAGATTTGGGGAGGAGGGTGCGGGAGCTGAGCCCAGGTTCTCTGCAAGAGCAACAAGTACTCTTAAGGACCGAGCCATTCCAGCCTCAGAGTGAGCAGGTTTATCCACAGACTCCCAAGTCACAAAATCTCATCTGATGCTGTGCATGTCTTCTCTGCCATGCAGCTCTGAGGACACGTTGCTTAAAGAAAATGTGCCCTTGATGATGACTCCTGGCTTTATTCCGTTGATAAAAACTGGGTTAATGTGATCTCATTAGACGAATCTCCAGTATGAGAAAGTGCATAGATGCCTGAAAGGGAGAAAAAGATGAGGTAAATCATTGTTGTTCCTCTTGATTCCAGTATAAAACAAAATGACAATAAGCCAATGAACTGTCTTAAAACCGGGGCTAATTCTAGGATGGGGCTAAGGGGAAATACGGGACATAGTAGGTTGGTTAAGAAGGACGGCCCTTCACTGACACCTTACAAACTTGTGTTCATTAGCTATCTTCCCCTATGCACGAAAATACTATGTTTTTCAGTTACTGCTAAAATTGAGATAACGTAGACTTCAACTCAATACATAGTTTGCAGGAAGAGCCCTGGAAACTAGTTGTCTGTCTTTTCCCTGCCTGATAAGGAACAAATGTCTGGAAAGGGAGAGTTCAAAGCACTCTGTCTGTCTGGAGGCAGCAAAAACAGGAAGGAAGGAGCTGAGGTAGGTAGGCACTTTTTCCAACACTTGAACTGTATCTGGAATTTAAGGGTTTTTTTCCCTTTCCTTTTTTAAAACCATTTTTACTGTTCTGAGAAATTCATTTTGAGCAAATCCTTCCTATTTGTTCCCTATTTTACAATTTTCCCTACCAATTTCATGTGCTCTGTTTTAAAACCTACTGAACTCATTAGGTGCTCACCGTATGTGCAGGGGTGTAAGACTATCTACTGGACATGGGTAGTTGATGATTTGAATGACAACATCCCCCATCGACTCTGGCATTAGAACGCTTGGTTCCCTTCTGGTGGTACTGTTTGGGAAGGATGAGGAGGTGTGGCCTTATTGGAGAAAGTGTGTCACTGGAGGTGGGCTTTGAGAATTTAAAGATCTGTGCCTTTTCTAGTACACTCTCTGCCTCCTGATTGTGGTACTGTGAGATATTGAGATGTGAACCCTCAGCTTCTGCTCTCAGCATCCAGTTCCCGCTGTCTCCCCTAACTCTCTGGATCCATAAGCCCAAGTAAACTCTTCCTCCTCCTCTTCCTCCTCTTCCTCTTCTTTTGTTTTGCTTTTTGAGACAGGGTTTCTCTATATTGCTTTGGAGCCTTCCTGGAACTCGCTCTGTAGACCAGGCTGGCCTCACACTCACAGAGGGATCCACCTGCCTCTGCCTTCCAAGTGCTGTGAATAAAGGCGTGTGCCACCAATGCCCGGCTTAAACTCTTTCTTCTTTAATTTTTCTTGATCATGATATTTTGTCACAGAAATAGAAAAGTAACTAATAGAGGAAGCTTTTCAAGGACTACAACTTTAAGAAAAACTGACTCTTTAGCTAGCTAGGGATTCTCAAACTCTTCTCCATCTATGCTGTAAGTTTGGATTTATTGATTTTGTGCAGGTCTTGTGTATGCAGCCACATAAGTGCAATGACCCCTCTATATCCAACAAATACTGTTTTGGGATAGATACCCACTATATTGATTCTTAGAATTGTTCCCTCACTCCCCCCCCATGAAAATGCTTTTAAAGGAAAGGTATAATATAGGTGTCTCAGTTAGAACTAAGCACTCCACAGCTAGAATTTAAACAGTTTTGATGAGAATCTAAAATGTCTTTAATTAATGATGTTGTCATAATTCAATGTAAAATGGGACTGAAGCTTTTAAGAATGACTACACCTTAACTTGAAACACAATGTATGCCTTCTACTTCCCCCATGTTCTTTCCTTTCTTCAACAATACTGTGACTCTGACATGTTTAAATTTCTAGAAGTCATCAGTATATGCATTCAAGAGGGAACAGTACTTTCCTAATCTCATGAGGTGTCATCTCTCCCTCCCCCAGATCAGCTTAGAAAATAATAGGTGTCCGTTCCTGAATATGAACATATCATCCCATGCCCTCTGCTCAATGGCTGGTGATAGAAGATGTCATTCTGTAAATATGTTTCTCTTATTGGTTAATGAATAAAGCACTGTTGGCCAATAGGAAAGCAAGACAGGTAGGACGAGGAGACTAGGAGGAGAGAGGAAGAAGTAGGGAGGAGATTCAAGATGTAGGACCAACAGGGTGGTACGCCAGGCTCTCTCTCTGGTAAGATAAGACCACATGGAAATACTTAGATTGATAGAAATGGGTTAATATTTAAGACAGAGCTAGCTGATAAGAAACTAGTAACTGGCCAACAGCAATATATCAAATACAGAGTCTCTGTGTGTTATTTGTGGGTGGCGCAGCTCTGGGACCAGGCTGGCGGAAAAACCTACTCATAACAAAATAGCACCCAATGTGCGGCTCAGAGAATAATAGGTGTCCATCCCTGAATATGAGCACATCATCCCATGCCCTCTGCTCAGTGGCTGGCATAAGGGGGATGACTCTCCAGTAAGGAGTTAGCGTGTGTGTGTGTGTGTGTGTGTGTGTGTGTGTGTGTGTGTGTGTGTGTATGTGTGTTATGTATTTGTGTATTGTGTGTACATGCCTATGAATATCAAATCCCCAGTATTGCTTTATCATCCCTGAGCACAACAAGGAGAAATTCAGATGCATGGCCATCTGATACTGTCATCTTTCAATAGTTACTATCAGATTCTCTTCATAGCCATAACCTGTCTTCTTACCTTTTCCACTCTTTGGCTGTATTGTAACTCACCTTTGTGCTGTAGTATGTTGAAAGGTTTTAAGCCTTTATGCTTGGTAACTATATCTGAGGAGTTTTGCTATACAAAAAAACAACAAAATAATTTATGTTAGATAACTAGTTGGAAGTCAGCGGACTTGAAGGTCACTGAGGTTTGGTTCCACCTGTGTCTCATATAATTATAATCCTTTATAATACAGTTTGGGGACACACAGTAATTTCAGAAATCACATTTAAAAAGAAAAGAAGCATTACAATTTAAAATATAACTAGGTGTGATGGCGGACGCTTTAACCCCAGTACTCAGGATGCAGAAGCAGGTGGATCTCTGTGAGTTCGAGACCAGCCTGGTCTATAGAGCAAAAATTCCAAGACAGTCAGGAATACACAGAGAAACCCTGGTTGAAACCTACCCACCCCTGGTGTTTTGTTTTGTTTTGTTTTTAAGATCACTACAGACTAAATCAAGGAAAAGGTAGAGTGGATTTATCATGTCTCAGCAAGGGAAGATATTTCCCCTTAGGAAAACACAGGTTTTTATAGACTTATTGCATTTTTTCTTTAACTCCTTTTGTTTTTAGTTTTGGGTTTTTTGTGGGTGTTTTTGTTTTTGGGGGGTTTTTTGGGGGGGCAGGGTTTCTCTGTGTGGCTCTGGCTGTCCTGGAACTCATTTTGTAGACCAGGCTGGCCTCGAACTCACAGACATCTGCCTCTGCTTCTGAGTGCTGAGATTAAAGGTGTGTGCCACCACACCAGGCTTTTTAAAAACTCCGTTTAATCTGCTCTATTGCATGGTTTTGGGGTTTGGTGGTGTGGTTTTTTGTTTGATTTTATTCTTGAGACAGGGTTTCCCTGTAGCTCTGGCTAGCCTGGAACTCCTGGAGCTCTTCCTGCCTCTGCCTCTTGCGTGGTGGGATGAGACTAAAGACATGCACTGCCACATCCAGCTGCCACATGAGCAAAGGGTGGAATCTGACTTTTGTCTCCACTATGGGTGAAAGCATGGGCTCATGGAAAACCAGAATATCTTATAGTTGCTATCAAGCAGGAAACCTGGTTGTAAACACCATGGACATACTATTGCCCCCAAAGGATTAATTAAATGAGGTTTGCCAGTCACTTCATAGTTTTTCTTCTTCCTTCTTTCAATCCTTGGATAGGAAAATGCCCAGTCGGACAGCTATCAGTCCCAGCAACTTTATGTAAGAGTATAAAGCCTGGTGCCGTGGTCCCTTTGGCTGTTGCATACTTATCTCTCAAATTGTTAAGCCCTTCACAATGGTCTCTCTGGACATTGTCCATCCTTACTTACCCTGTGAGCATTTTCATCAACTATGGTCTCTGTCTATTGTCCACTCTCACCCCTTAAGAGTCTGGCCCTCCACCGTGCTCTCTCTTGCCATTCTCTATGTTCATCCATGAGAGTGCCTTGTATTATTCTTTAATGAGCTCTGCCTGTCTTCAATGTTTCATCTCATGTCTCTAACAACCTTTTATTCCATGTACATAGTCTATGGTTCTAGTTTTATTATAGGATAGCCACTCATTCATTTATTCCTTCATCTGTGTTTTAAAGTATTGGAAATGCCTGAGTTCATTTCCAAATGATTGCGGTGTTTCTGTATCTTTACAACCCCAGAAAGCAACCAGAAAGTGGCTTTGAGGGAAACATTAGCCCTTTTTCACATTCATGCTTCTACTTCACTGATCTGTACATTTGCCACTAGAAGAACTGGAAGAAAACAACAACAAAAACTAATGTTCATTGTAACACAGCCCCTGGTATGGCTTTGCCTTACTCTTGTCTAACTTATTGTTCAGTTCTGTGAGCAATGCATTGCGTGTTGGTGGAAAGACGATTTTCTTCTGACTCTGTCTCCCAGGGAACCCTCTTGTTTCATTGGTTTGTAGATCCCACACTTTTAACAAGCCTGCTGCTTTTACTCCTGTGTTTATACTTTGTCCCCTTCCTTTCTCGTGGTCTTTTCACTCACAAGCTCCTGGGCAGTAACACTGATCTTATCTCTTATTGTTTTCAATTAGGTATACATCTATATGGCTGTGTGTATGTGAACAAGAGTGCAATGCCCACCGTGGCCAGCAGATGTCACTAAACTCCGTGGAGTTGGGGACATTTGTGAGCCACCAGCTTGGAGGCTTGAACTGAACTTGGGTTCTCTGCAAGAACTTTATGAGATCTTAACCACCGAGCCATTTTTTTTCCACCCCCATCTCTTCTTTACTTTCTACTAATCCATAATCTGGGCACTTAGATTTTGTTTGTTTGTTTGTTTCATTCAAATTCCCTCAGAGCATGCAGAAAAGAATGTTAAACCCGGTCTCTGAACACTCTGGCCGCCACCAGTGGCACAGACCTACATCTCCTGCAGCCCTGCCACAAAACCATAGGTCTTGTAGGTTTCAAGCCTTCCTATGCATGTGCCCAGGCCCTCTTTACTCTGTAGCTCTTTATCTGTCAGCCCTCGCCCGGCACCATAGCAGGTAATGATGCAGGGAAAACAAGGGCTACCACGGATGACACAGAGGGAAAAACACAAAGCTGGTACTTTATGCCTTGGCGTTGAGAGGTCATTCATTACCTTCCGTGCTTGCTTCCAGGAGCTTAACGGAGTCAACTTGTTGTACAGAAGTTGCCGCAGCTGTCAGGACATCATGAAGAGAAAAAATGGTGCAAAGAGACAAATGATCAGACCTCACCTCAACATGCTAAGAAAAAAATAAAAAGCTGCTACTTAGCACATCGCTTCTAAGCGACACTTCTGGACCATTAGCAAAACTGGAATCAAACATGGAACAACAGTATCTTATGCAGTGGGGCATGAGCATCTGACATTATTGCTGGGGTGAAGGTTGTCTGGGAGGGAGGGCTGTCCTAACCATGTGTCTGGTAGGCATGTAGCAAATGCCGGAAAACCGCCCATCTGTAAATGGCAAATGGTAAATGGCAAATGAGTTTATAATAACATCCTTTCTATTGTTAGTATTACTTATTTATTGATGTGTATGAGTATTTTTTGCCTGCATGTATGTCTGTATACCATGTGTGTTCCCATGGAGTCCAGGAGGGGTTCTGGTTCCCTAGAATGGGAGTCACAGGTGGTTGTGAGTCATCTTGTGGCTTCTGGGAACCAAACCTGGGTCCCAGCCCCAATAATAAAATATGTTTGTCCTCTTACTAAAAGGTATCAATTACTGCCTTTGCCTCTCAACATAATTGCTTGCTGCTTGGGAAGGAAAACGGAGGGACATAGTTCTTTACAATTTTTTTCTATTTATCTTTCACTAAAACTAATAGTCTTGTGTTGGGAATTTTGTTTACTATGAGAAATACTTAGCATCCAATAGCCTGGAAATGTGGAAGTTGTATCCTTTCTGCATATTTCAAATAAATGGACAAAGGAATTCAAGACACAAAATCCAATCAATCCCCCCATCCCCAGAAAGCAATTTGACCCTGGGGCCAGTGCCAGAGCATACTTTTAAGTTTGAAAGAGATTTTCCTGCTTACTTTTGAGGCAGAATCTCACTACTCTAACTTGTCTGGGACCCTCTGGGTACCACAGGCTGGCCTGGAATTTGTAATCCTTGCCTCAGTCTTATGAGTTCTAGTGTTATAGATATGTACCACCACACCAGGCTTAGAAAGATTAAATGTAAAAAGTCCCTCTTTCTCGCTGTGATGTTCACTCTACTTGCTATTGAATCTATATGCTTCATTAGCAGGGATGCCTTGGGTCCTTCGTCTCTTGGATGAGCCTACCTTTTGTAGAGTTATAGAATTTTATTATCTAAGAATCCATTAAAGGCCTTGGAACTGAGAGGGAAGTTTTTAAATATGCCTACATTAGGGAATGAAGGGAGAAATGGATATACACATACCTTATTATCCAAGAGAATTCCAAAACAGAAGATGAAAAATCCCTTTAACAATTAAAAACAGAGCAAAGCATATGCATTATATTATTGTTTTTCTTTCCTAGACAAGAAATAATCTATATATTATATGGCACAATTCTATCATCCTGTAATGGCATCTTATACTCTAATGTTGAATGTTTTTTTCCTCCATTTGGAGGTTAGGCCACATTCTATAACCCAGGCTAGCATCCTATGCACTACTTAGGCCAGGCTAGCCTCAAAGTTGTGAGGCTTCTGCCTCTACCCCTTGAGTGCTGGGGTGACAGCCATGTGCTAAATGCTCAACTTGAGCTTGTTTTCTGTCTGCCCTTCTGCTGAACTATGAGCTTTTTGAAAGCAAGAGTAGTGTGAGCTCTACAGAGCCTGGTACATCAGAAAGTGCTCACAGATGGTTTTCATGAGTGTGTTAATGAGCAAATGACTGAATGAATGAAGTTGTAAACTCACATGAAACACTGTCCTCAACTATGGCGTTACTCAAAGCCCCAGCTAGCTCCCAATGACTGCGGGATCTCTATCTTTCTTTAGACCAAGCATTAAATAAGTGTTTATCATGTACGTGTGATGGCAGCAGATACTGAGCTTCAGCATCCCTTATGGCCAGGAGGAGGAAGGTAGTCTCCGGGAGTAAACTTCTCTTCAAGTATGTCTCTTAGAAAATCTTGGCAAAGCTTTTCTTCCTCCCTGCTGGGAAACTTTTCATTTGTGCCTGTCAAACAGCACACTGCTCACAAGCCTGCTCTTCCTAGAACTCTCAAGGTGTGTCTCCATTGTGTGCATGCTCTCTGTGGCTACATCTGTATGACCGCCTGTGCGATAACAGCTGTGTTGACAGGTGCATCACCTCTAGGACTCTAAACATTTACTGAATATGGGGCACTGTGCCGGGTGCTGAATTCTAAGTCCTAATCCTCCAAGGATTACTGCTCACCAGCTAAGAGAACCGAAGGATAGAGAGATTAAGCACATAGTTGGTATTTGAGAGAAAACACACTTGACTCCAGAACTCAAAAGTCCCTACCATTGCCCCAGGCGATCTGGTCTTAGCAGCAATAAACCGTGGTTGAAGACTTTCTCCCAGATACATCAAAACCTGGGGGTTACTTTTTTCCATTTAGTCCCAACACTCCCTGACTATGGAATATAAAAGGATCAGGGAGCTACTGGTGTAAAGACTATTAAGTATTGTACAATATATGACATCTGTTTCAGTTGTGCTGCTGTTGGAGAGAAAAGAGCCATGGGCCCTTCGTACATTAACAGATACAGTTGTAGTCCAAGAAAATGTTATCTAAGAATCTGGCTGTTGGGTTGCTGGCCTCTGTTTATTAAATTCCAGGGACTTGCTTTGTACCCGGCAAGGTCACCAGTGCTTTTCAGTTCTTTCTCTTTCTCTGCTTTGTCAGAGATTTATTTATATGAGAGAATGAGGGTTGAGTCAACCACAAAAGAGATAAACGGTAGTTATGTGAACTCTAATAGATTTAAGCTCTGTGGTAGGTTACTGGAAAGTCCAGAATTCTGCTTTGGTATGACATGAACTGCTGGGGGAAATGGATGGGTTTGTCTTCTTGCTGTTTCCATGCACTTTGTGTTATAGAATTGTTGGAGCTGAAGAGATGAGATCATCGTCATCCACTAGTTCTCTATATATATATTCCAATGACAATGTTGGGTTAGAACTTGCAGCTCTTATACTGTTTAGCAAGTACCCTGCCTCCAACGCCTGCCCTCAGAGAATCTCCAACAAAAGAAATGTGACAAAAAGCTTGGTCCCCCATTCTTGGAGGCTGTGGTGTCTCCTCTCCTGAAGTTGCCAGCTGCCCAAGTCCCTGCCTAAAGCATTCAATCTTTTACCATTAGGCATAAACCCAGTTTGTGGTGGACCTGCCATCACCCATCACCTACAGGCTATAGAACCTCCCTTCTTTAATTCAAGAGTGTGACTTCTCTGGCTTCCATCTCTGGAACTGGGGAACTCACCTGGGAGTTGCTTTGCTCAAAGAAACTTGTTCTTTTACTTTTTCAAATCAGCTTGATCTGGCTTACTGCATCAGCAGAGAAATCTATTGTCTGGCTACATAAAACCTATTAGACAGGAGTACATAATACGCCATCCTTATTGTTCTTACCTGGAAAGCATTGAGTAAAGCAAAAAGAACATGCCAAGCCAGATTCTGGCTGTCCATCATTGTCCCTATGCCGAAGCCCCAGGTGAGCCCTAGCAGTGGGGTCAGAACGAGGAGGCTCTTTCCCATGCGGATGGCAGTGACCTTGTCATCCCGATTCAGTCTGTCTCCAACTGCTGGCCTCCAGAGCTTCCTAAGGACCAGCAGCACCACAGCCAAATTCACAGCCACAATAGTCAATGCAGGAACAACGAAGGCCAAGAGAGGTTTGCTCTCATCAGACCAGTTAAGCCAACACACGTTGTTCCTTTTGTAGCTGTTGCTAGGTTGGGTGACTGCAATGGTGATGATGGATATAAGGAGAGGGCACCCGTAGCCCAGGCAGAACCCAGTGGCCATCATGGTTGGCGCAGCCATGTGATGGAACACAAGGACGATCCGATAAGCCAGAAGGGTGCCGAGCGCAAGCATCCAGAAGAACAAAGCGAGGTAGAAAAAGTGGGTAAAGAACACCGCGGCTACACAGACTCCAGAAGGGCTGACAGTGGCATCCACAGTGGCAGCAATGATAAACCCAACATCAGCAATTAAGAGTGACAAGGCGATGTTCACCAGGCAAACGTGGCGTGTGTATGAGGTTTGGCTTTTCTTGGTTTGCTTCCAAAACAGAGACTCGATGATCAGGCATAAGATTAGACTTGCAATGGAGATGCCCAGTCCTATGTATGTAATCCATTTCACCACGGGGACAATTGAAGAGGGAACAGAGGGTGACATGAGCATGGAGAAGGAGGTCAGGTGAGTACATCGGCACAGTACTGTGTCTGCCGTTTCATTAACTAGTTGGCAGCCTGCATTGCTCCACTGCAAGTGATTGAAATCCCAAAACACACAACGAGGCTGGCTCAGGTTTCCCTCTATCTTGGAAAAGTTTAGGAAAATTTCACTGACGGAATGGTTTTGGATAAGTGTGGCTATCACAGGCCCATTGATGCGTGCATTTCCTCTGTGGGTGATGGGTAGAATGTTCCCAAAGGTCAGGGAGGCCATGCTGATAATAGTCTTTGAATGGGATTTCTGGAATTGATCTGGTTCAATAAGCACATGGCCTCGGATGGGCTGAGAGGCACTTTGTTGTATCATTTCAATCTGGTAGTTGTAACCCCGTGTCCTTTGTATTTGGGTCACTGGAGTCCCTCTCCAGTCGATGAATTCTCGAGAAAAATTAAGAGGCAGAGCAGTGGAAGGTATTAGAGTGCTGATATTTTCCAAAGTCTCTAGCAGCTGGGAGCTGGTATTATTTCTGTCTTCTAATAAAATTGTCCAATTAGTTATGGAGGATGGGTTCAGAATACGATCAGCGATGTTGATGACATTCTGAAACACAAGAGTCACAGTCTCTTTAGGTCTTCTGAGACTGGAGATCTGACAGTGGAAGGTCGCTCATATTAAGGGACAATGGCCATGGAATTGGTGAGTTGGGGATCTCAGTAAAACTCAGGAATTAACATAAGTGCTGTGGCTCAATAAAGTAGAAAGAAGTTTTGTGTAAAGAAACATGGGTCAAGATAGTAAGATACCTCAGTAAGAAGGGGCCTGCAGCTAATTCTAGTGACCTGAGTTCAATTCCCTGAACCCACATGATTGAAGGAGAGCACCAACTCCTACAGGTTGCCCTCTGGTCTCCATACCCATACCATGGTGTACATGCACCCCTCTCCAAACACACACAATAAATAAAAACTATTTAAGTTGGGTCCAGAGTGTAATCTGCAACCACAGTAGGGCTTTTCTTCAGCATGGAGGAATAAGCATCTTATACCACACAGGTGTGCATTTCTTTATCCCTGGGATGGGGAGAAATGACTAGTGAACGTACCACATCACAGAGACAGTGTGGCTTTCCAGAGTGTCCCCATCTTGTTTCTTTAGCTAACATTAGAATTTGTTTTTGTTTTATTGTATTATATTTTATTTATTATTATCTCTTAGAAGCTTGCTGTTTTCTAATGAGAGACCAAACAGGGGTGGATCTGGATGGGAGGAGGGGTAGGGAAGAATTGGTTGGAGCAGAGGGGGGGAGGGACTGAAATTAAGATACAGTGCATGAAAAACATCCATTTTCAATTTTCAAAAAAAATGGAGGAGACTTGTAAAGTCATGTCATGGATGCCTCAAATTTGAATTTTTTTTGGTATTTATTGATGTTTACTGCATACAGATATCCATCAATGATTCTTAAAAACTGTACGGTATTGAACTGCTGGCTGGGGAGGTGGCTCTGACCCCAAGAGCACTTCCTGCTCTTCCCAAGGTCTTGCATTTGCCTCAAATCTACAGTCTTTGTACTTCAGCCTCTCAAACGCCAGAATTACTGGTCTGGACCACAAGGCCTTGCACTGCAACTCTTTTTATTTTTCTGTCTTCTTTATTGAAAATCAATTTTTTTCATAAAATATATTATGATTAGTTTCCTCTCCCAGGTCCCCCCACCTCTACTCCCACCCAAATCCACACCCTTTCTCTCTCTCTCTCTCTCATTAGAAAACAAACAGGCATCTGAATAAGAAGAAGAAAATAAAGTAAGGGGAAATAAACACAAACAAACCAGAATAGGACAAAATGAACAACAATAAAAAAGCGCCAAGGAAAAAAACACAAGAAACACATATGAATACAGGTGCACATACAGAAATCCCATACACATAGAACAGGAAAACATAACATACACTTAAAGGACCTGTGCGGACATGGGGTTTGCCCTTAAGTGTGGCTTGTATCCCCAGTGAGACTCTATTGGACAAAACAAATTAGTTGTACTGCTGTTCTTATGATGACCAAATATTATCATAGCAATGTAAGCCAAATTGTAAATAGCTAAACTCAACCAGCCAAGAGAAGGGAGTTCTTAAATTGTACCTTGCTAAGGTCAGAATTTACAAGCACAGGGGGAAAAAAAAATACAGACTGGGAATATCAAGGACTGGGGTGGGGGGGGGAGGAAACGGGCGCCTACGTTCAATCCTCACTATGGGATCTGGTGAGAGTAGAAAGGAAATTAATGCCTGTGTTCACGAGTGCAAAAGCTTTCCCAGTCCTCTGAGCCTGACACTTCAGAGCAGCCTGTTCATGGGCAGATCTGGGTTTAGCATTGTTGATCCTATGAGTTCACTGTATACTGTTGAAGTGCCAAAGAAGCTCACACAGGAACTGTTGCATGGTTTCTCTGTTTTTCTCCAGTCTTCCCCCTCATCCAGGCTCTTATGATATATCTCCTACTAGACGTAGCATTTGACGTGAGACCTTCAACCAGGGTGTACTGGTACAGGCCTGTAATCCCGGCACTCAGAAGGTTAACCCAGGATGGTTTCTGGGCATTCAAGGCTGGCCTGGCCAATGTATTGCATGGCAGGCCAGGCCAGCCAGAGCTACCCTGTGAGATCTGCTCTCAAAAAAAAAAAAAGCTAAACTATAAATAAATCAAGTGAATCAAGTGAGCCCTTCAAGACTAGAAAGGTCTTACCTCCAATGTCAAATTAGACACTGTCAAAGCTTTTGCCAGTGACAGGGATGCAATGTCGCTCAGAAGTGATACCACTGAAGCCAGGGTCCCAACTGTGGTGGACGAGCTTTGCTGAACGATGGCCGAAAGATTGTGTACCAAAGCTGACACATCTGCCTCTGTGATGTTGCCTGCTATCATACTGAGATTCTAAAAAAAAAAAAAAAAAAAAAAAAAAAAGATTACGTTCTAGGGGGAAGAATTAGAAAAGCTTGCACACCATTACCCTTAAATCGGATCTCTTGGCTATAAAGCAAACAGGGCAGTGTATTGGCGGGTAACTATACAATAGTGGTGGTAACAACGGCTGTGGTTTGGGGTTTCTTGTGTTCTAGACCCCGTGCTGAATGCTTAATAACGCTTGCTGGTAATTTATTGATTGCGCATCTTAAACGCTCTTTGAAGGAAGTAGTGTTATTATTGGTAGTTTAGTGCTAAGGGAACTGGATCACGAAAAAACTCTCTGAGAGACGTTTTTCAAATAGATCACAATCTCGGTTACGGGGAAATGGAGAATGCCTGATGTTTGGCGACTATGCCAGGAGTCCCCAGCTGAAAGTGGTACCGCCAGTACCCAGCTCTGCCCGTACTCATGCTGAGCTCCCTGTACAGAGCGAGAAGACAGATGGGCACATGTGCCAGCGTGACGGCTGGGCCTGGGTCAGGCCCCATTTACTTCAGCTGTGCCACGATAACAGAGAGCATTGGCCTCCATCAGTGTAGGTAGGGGAGGGGCGATCCCATCAACACAAGTTGACCAGGACCCCAGATCCCACCCAGTCTCCTTGCTCTCTCAGCCGCCTGTACAGCTGTCTGCCGGCCCCTACATCCGGGATCAACAAGTTCAAACTATTGTCATGTTCAGATCTGGGGCAAGGAAAGAGAGAGGAAGACTGGGGTCCAGTGGCCACCTGCTCCTAGTTTATAGATGAGGACACAGAGGGCGGAAAGGGACTGGTAACCGTCCCATGATGCTTTGACAGGGAGCTCTCTCTGGTATTCTCTGTCATAAGAGGAAGGCCTCTGGCTGGGATGGAAGCTGTGTTCAACACAGAGGTCTGCTACAAGAGCAGTGTCTGAGCCAGTTTGGAAGTTTCCCCCTGTGATTTCAGTTCTCCTGTTCCTGGACTTACCTTTTTTCTTCCTTCCTTCCTTCCTTCCTTCCTTCCTTCCTTCCTTCCTTCCTTCCTTCCTTCCTTTCTTTCATATATATAAAGCTAGAATGGAAGCCACTGCACTGGGATAGGAACTATGTGACTCTGTCTCCATACCACTATTATTGTTACCAGATGGACCACTGGCTGCTTGGTCTTTTGATATATACATATATACATATATATATAAATTCCATGGTTCACACCCCATCCCCCATCTAGCCTACTCACTATTCCAATAGAAGATCTTTGTACCTTCTCACTTACATGAAGTACATTGCCCTGATCCATACTTCCCCTTAACCTTCAATTCCAAGGCCTCTTGAATTTCCAAGTCTAGCTTAGTTGCTGTTTCAGCATCTATCATATCTGTAAGCATATCTGAAGCGACTTCACCCTACGAAGATAAAATCCATCAACTCAGGCATTTTCTGACTCTGCCTGGCATGCTCACAATCCCTGGTTAACCGAGACCCAACAGAACCCTCATATGTTTGCACTGTCTAAAGATACGAATAGTCACATTTGACCCTCTACCAAGCCACGCTGTCTGGATGATGCCCATTACGAAATTCAAACTGCCAAGTTCCTACAAATGTATCACCTTATTCAGTTCTGCCAGCAGAGAGAGCACACAGTACTCCTTGGTGATTTCCCACCCAGAATGCTGGCACCTGATGGTGATATTTCCAGTAAAGCCACTGCTACAGGGTACAGTATATTCATCATTCACAGATCCGAATCCAAAGGAGATGCTGTTACACTGGACTGGAAAATAACAGATACAGAAAAAAAATTATTCCAGAACATTCTAGCACTGTGCAACAACAACAAACTTGCAGTGCTTAAGTGATTTGGGAGTCATATTTACAGATCTAAAAGCCAGGCAAAATTTGAAAGTACAGGGGCATTTTTTATGTCCACCCTCATTCCTCTTCTGTCTTCCCCATGCCCCTTGGCTCAAGGATGGTTCTTCCTTCCAGGTATCTGAGCAATGCCAGAAACATTGTCCTTAATGGGCCATCAACTGGTTAGTATTAAGTGAAAACAAGGCAAAATGCAATCACTTAAGGGAATCCCAGAAGGCAGGGGAAATGGCTCAATGGGCATGTGTCAGAGTTCAGAGCCTCAGAGCTCACATGAACGCCATGTGGGCATGGCAGCCCATGTGGTCATCCTCCCAGCATTCAAGGGAGACTGGCAGCCCATGTGGTCATCCTCCCAGCATTCAAGGGAGACTGGCAGCCCATGTGGTCATCCTACCAGCATTCAAGAGACACTAGCAGGGAATTCCCAGAGCAGTCTGACTAGCCAGACTAGCAGGAAGTCAGAGCTCCACATTCAATGGGACATAGATCCCTACCAGGATCTATAAGGTGAAAAGCAAGTGAGAAGAACACCCAGCATCAACCTCGGTACTCTACGTGTACGCACTTGCACCCATTCATTCCTGTGTCCATACACATGCAAACTTGCATGCATACATACATATGCCATCCATACAAACGTGTGTATGGGAGGGAGAAAATACTTGATAATCTTGAAGATGCTATGGGACAAAGAATGATAATGTGGCAGGTGGATGGGTGATTGTCACTGGGACGTGATCCTTCCTGCCATGTACTTATTGCAAAGCTGCTTTTACTGCTGCACCAGTGACCCTTAATAATACATTCTTCCAAGACTGGAACTAGGAGATGACATCACTGGAAGCCAGGTCCTCAAACCTGGAATTTTTATTTCTTCCTTGTTCTGTTCTTGTGTCTGGACATATCAGATAGGAAATATTTGCTGAGTTATTGTTGTTGGCAGATGCTAACAGAAGTGACGGGAGATGCCTACAGCTCAAATTAAAAATAAAACGAATACATGACATTTATTTGCTAACTACAGACATCCTGGTCAGCAGCTTCTGTTTCTTGTAGACCCTAACCCTTCATTACTCACCCCTTTGCCTACTCTCTACAACACTGGGAACTACATTTCTCAGTTTCTGTGAGATCAGTGGATTCTTTGGACTCCATACATGAGTGAGGTGATACAGGATTGACCTTTCTGTGTCAGGCTTAATTCATTTAACATAGCATCCTCTAGACTCACCCACTGTGCTGCAGTAACAAGAATCATCCCTTTGGGGGACTGAAGAGGGCTGCATGTCAAAGTAGCTGGGAAGGATTTGTTGACTGTTTCCATTGCAAGGAAATCATAAATGTTTGAGGCGATAGATAGGCTAATAACCTCACTACATAATGTCAGCAGCTCTCAAAATAGTACATCATCATCTGATAAATATGCATGATGATTATGTGTCTAATTAAAAATTTAAATGTGAGGCATACTGGTGCACACCCATAATCCCAGGACCCAGAAAGATGGAGGTATGGGCTTGAGAACTGGAAGCTAGTCTGGGCTATAGAGAGAGACTCTCTCTCTCTCAAGAAATAGAAAACAGAGAATGAAGAAAGTAAAGGAAAAGAGAAAAACCGTGTGTGATGTTTTGTTTTAATTATCAGCATCAACTTGACACAATGCAAAGTTACCTGGGAAGAGCTCTTAATGCAAGCTTGTCTAGATTGGGATGGTGTATGGGTGGGTCCTCGGTGGATTTCTTAACTGGGTTAGCTGAGGTCGGAGGACCCGCTGTGAATGTGAATGTCACCATTTCATGGATGGATCTTAGACTTTGATGTGGTTGTGACTAGCTGTTTCAGGTCCTGCTTCCTCGACTTCCCCGCAAAGATGGACTAGCATCTGGAATTATGGGTCAAATAAACCCTGTCTCCCCCAAATTGTTTTTGGTGAGGTATTTTACCTCACCAAGAGGAAGTGAACTAAGATGGTAGTTTTTAAATGTAGAGAGAGGTGGGTGTGTGCATTTCCCCCTTGGGTCATTGGATGATGGTTTAACACTACTCTCAGCTCCAAGGCTTTTCCAATGTCTGTATCAGCAAAGCATTGCTGAGTCACACCCATCAAAGGCCAGGGTTCCAGGATGTTTATCTGACATGCTCAAATCTCCAATTAGTAACGATCGGAGACTCAGCTGGCATTGGGTTGTAGGGGGGTGGGGGATGCTGCCAGTTTCTACCGAAAGTGTGTTATTGAACAATCCTTTTGGAAATAGGCATCTGCAATCTGAGGACACCATGTATGACTAATGGAAGACTGGAAGACTGAGTCAAAGTTGGTAGCCCGGCATTACCTTTCCCAAACACTCGAAAAGAGCCATCTTCAACTGAGAACTTCCTTTTCAGGGCCAAACGTGCCTTTTCAGTCACCTGCTCAATGGCAGACAGGAATTCAGCTGTGCTACTGGATCCAGTCACTTCATAGCCAACAATGATGCTTCCTTCTCTGCAGAGAGGAGATATGAAGAAAGCAGAGATTCACTGTCTCTGTGTTGTCTCTAAATCTGTAAATGCATAGCATGGAGTCCATAGGAATGAAGCAAATAGATTTGTTGTGCACCTTCTTGGAGCCAAGAAAAATGAGCAACTGCTCCCCCCATGCCCATGCTTGTATGCACACACATACATGTGCATACATACATACGTCTCTACCCATGCATGCATAAGTACATTTTCATTTGCATGCACATGCATACCCATATGCATCCTTGCACACATGTCCATACATATACTCGCAGTAATTTATAGATGTTAAATGTTATGAGAGACAGGTAGACAGGGACAAGCATAGAAGGTAAATGGAGGTAAATGCTCTCACGGTATACAGGCTGGGTGGAGAAGGTTTCTCTGTAGAAAACAGCCCTGGCTTTTGAAACAGGCCTTTAAGATGATGTCTTAGTTAGGATGACTTTTGCTATGTTAGAACACCGTGACTAAAAGCAACTTGGGGAGGAAAGGGTTTTGATTTATTTATTTATTTATTTATTTATTTATTTATTTATTTATTTGCTTACTCTTCCAGGTGACGGTCATCACTGGGGGAAATCAGGACAGGAATCTAGAGACAGGAACTGAAGCAGAAGTCATTGAAGAATGGCTTATTCCCCAAGGCTTGCTCAGTCTCCTTCCTTTTAACACATAGGTTCACCTGCCCAGGGATGGCGCCACCCACACCGGTCTGGATTCTGCATCAATCAGTAATTAAGAAAATGCACCATAGGCTGTATAGAGGCAGATCGTATGGAGACATTCTCTCAGTTGAAAGTCCCTCTTCCTAACTTTGCCTCTAGCTTGTGTCAGGTTGGCAGGGAACTAGCCAGCATAGATGACAAGAAAACAAGTAATGAGAAGCACTCTGGACCGCATGCAAGTATCTGCAAAAGTTCTGGGACAGGCAGAGTCCGATGAACTGCAATGACTAGTCCAGTAAGTGAGAGAGAACGGTAGGAAGAAATACTGGGGAACTGGCTGAAGGGAGACAATAAAGAAAGCAGGATGAGCTAAGAAAGTGGCGGTTTGTCTTCAACTGGTTGGATAGCCATTTGTGTGGAAAGAGATTGCAGGAAAGCAGAGTTGGGGTGTACAAGAAAGAAACCAGTTAAGAATGACTTCACAGGCCAGAGAGGTCAAGGGCACCACATGAACACCCACAGAACCAACCAACCTGGGCTCATAGGGGCTCACAAAGACTGGACCACCAGCCAGGGAGCCCGCATGGGACTGACCCAGACCCTCTGCACATATGGTGCAGTTGTGTCTTCTTGTGGGGCTCCTAACAGAGGGAGCAGGGGCTGTCTCTGACTCGGTTGCTTGCCTTGGGACTTTTTCCTCCTACCAGGTTGCTTCGCCCGGCCTTAATAGGAGAGGAGGTGCCTAGTCTTGAGATGCCATGGCAGATTGCTATCCATGGGAGGCCTGCCTCTTTCTGAAGACAAGGGGAGTAAGCAGTGAACAGGAAGGAAGAGGGGGGATGGAGGGGTGGGGCTGGGAAGAGAGGGGGGAGGGGAAACCGTGGTTGGGATGTTAACACAAAAATAAATAAGGATTAAAAAAGAGAGTAATTTCACAGAATAGGAACAAAATTAGTATTCTTACACAGTGGAATACTACTGGGCAATAAGACGGTGGGACTCACAGCTACTGAGTAAAACAGGAATGAACTGCAAGAACTTCATACTGAATGATAGAAGCCAGGTTTAAGAAACAACAACTCACCCTCCATTTATGTGACATCCTAGAGCGAGTTAAACTAACCTAGGGAAGTAGAAATCAAACCCAGCGCTGCATTTGGTGGAGAGTATTGTAGCCATGGAGACTGGCTAGGAAGGAACTGGAGGGTACTGGTGACGGTCTGTCCAGGTGGGACAGGCTGTGTGCAGTAGGTCAGACCCAGTGAAGTGTACAGTGACAATCTGTGCACAGCATGTTGTGATCATTACACCCCAGGAAGGAACCTAGAGCAGAGTATGGCTCAGTGTTTGAGTCCAGAAACTGGGAGGGAGGGGAGAAGACAGGGGAGCAGGTGGCTGGAGGGGAGGGAGCAGGGGCGGGCAAGCGTTTGACATTCCCACTGGAAGAGCGAGCGAGCAGAAATGTCAAGATGGTGGCTGATATTCCGAGTTCAAGGGAGAGGCAGGTGACGACGCTGGAGACTGCAGGTACGCAGATGGCATCTGCGGCCACAAATGGCCCTAGAGGGAGGGCACACGCATTGGTGAAGAGGGCTATGGTTAGTCCACGAGATCAACACTGTGCCACCTTTATTCTTTTGTTTAGTGTTTTGCGACGAGGTCTCACTCTATAAGCTGGCCTGGAATTCAGTATGGAGCCCAGGCTGGTTTGGAACTTACAGCAATCCTCCTGCTGCAGCTCCCTAAGTGCTGAGATTAGAGGTGCGTGCCACCATGCCCAGTTACCTCTGTTTCTATGTTACATTTCCTGACTTTAAAAAGATGTTTATTTTAAAATGCTTTTATAATTAAGCTTAAAATATAATTTTTTTATTTTTTTTTTATTGTGTGTATATGGAGGGGGAGGTGTGCACACATGAAAGCAGGTGTCAGGGAGGCCGGAAGAAGAAGCGAGATATCGCTGGAGGTGGAGTTACAGCCGGTAATATACCACCTGGCATAAGCTCTGGGAAACAAACTCAGGTCCTCTAGAAGACCACTGTGTATTCTTTACCGCTGAGCTATCTCTTCAGCTGCCCAGCTATCCAAAATTTAAAGATAAACGAATAAAAACACAAAGAAACTGGAAATCGACAAGAATCCTGAAGCCTTAAAGAACCAAGTCTTGATGCTTTTTTCTTGACATAGCCCACCCTGTACCCCTTGCCCACTATTTTCCTACCTATTGTTTATTATGTTCTATCTTGAAACAGGGTCTGTGTAAGCCAGGCTAACCCTGAATTCACTTGGTACTCTAGGTCAGTTATGGAATAATGGCAATCCTCCTGCCTCCACCTCACAAGCCCTAGAATACAACCATTCAGTATTTGAATACAAAAATTACTGGAATTTAATCTCAGTTTCATCTAGAAGGTCACTGACAGCAAAGGCAAGAAAAAAAAAAAAAAAAAAGACAGACAGAAAGAAAATGATCCATTACAAAGATTCTATATGAAAGGGAAATTGTGTTCTTCTGTATGTTGGATATTAAAGAATATTATTCCCGTGGGACTTTCTAAATGACTTTGTGGAATAAGAGTATATTTATAGCAAGTGTTGTTGAAAATTTCCCATGACTGGTTTGAAGTTAACCGTGAAAAAAATAATGAGTCAAGTTCTTTGACCTCTAAGCTACTTCCTTCAGCAAGCAACTACAAGTAGCTGGCAGTTAACACACACAGGCTCAACTCCAAATAACTTTGAATTGAATCATAAACAAATGGCTAATTTACTAAATATCTCTTTATTTGCTGTAGACAATGATTTCTGTGTTTTGAACCACAACCTCTACTTGATACCTGCACGGGAAGAATATTTTATCCAAGGTTTCCATCGTGACTCCTGAGGATACAGCATCATGCCATCTGTGGTAGGAAAATGCTCATCCCTCTGCACTCACAACCCTCAAGCTACCTCTCACCCTTCCTGAACCCGTACACCATGACTTCCCCCTCCCTCTCCAGTTCCTATCCTAAGTCCATATGTTTACAATTCCTTTTTAAAATGTGTGCTTGTTCTTCTATGCATGAGTGTGTATGTGTCCTCACATGAACAAGCATGTGTGTATTTGCCTGTAGGGATCAGAGGACAACCTCAGGTTGTCATTAGGAATGCTCTCTACTTCTTTTGAGACAGCACCTCTTACTGGCCTGGATCTCATTAATTAAGTGAGTCTAGCTGGCGAGTGAACCCCACAGATCCCCTATCTCCATATTCTCAGCACTGGGATTACATGTGTGCAGGCATCATTATGTGGGTTCAGGGTCAGATTTCAGACTGTAGACTTGCAAGGTATACACTTACTGACTAAGCTCTCTCCCTAGCATGGACTTTACAGTTCTGTCAAGGCCAGCAGGAGTATCACTGGGTAGTCTCAGGACCAATGCTGAATTCTAGAGCAGCCCTTCTGGATCCAGATGTGACTTACCGAAACTGGGTGACCTTAACTGACTCAAAACCACGGATTCCTCTGTATGCTTCTTTAAGCTTAGAAAGGAAACAAAAGACAATGTTTCAATCCTTGTCCTCAGACATCAAAGAAACAAAATCGGAACAAAGTACAGATGGAAACAATGGTGGATAAATCATTAGCAGATGAGCAAAGGAAGAAGGGGCCACTGGAGGAAGTTACATGCCGTAACAAATACAGTTAAAATAACAATTGAGACTACACACCCACAATTTATTTTTGAGGATACTAAAAAAGCGTGAATGATCAGAGGTTGGTGAGGTGGCTCCCTTGTAAAGTGATCGCCATAGTCCAGGGGACCTGAGTTCAGAATCCTAGCACTCAGGTATGTGGGGTAGGAAGCCACATACATCTGCAACCCTAGTGCTGGGAAATAGAGAGAAGCAGGTCCTGGAGCTCGTTGGTCAACCAGTCTATCCAATTGCTGAGTCCAATGGGAGAGCTTGCCTCAAAATAATAACAGTGATAATGTGTAGACATCTTTAACAAGAAGGCGATCAACATCTACCTCTGGTCTCCACACATACACAGAGACAATAGAATAAGGGGAACGGGCTAGTAAATATTATGATAAATGTATGATAAATGTATTCAGATCTGGTCCAGTTCTTACATGACTTTGCCACGAAGTCCAGTTTAGTTCAGTAACTCCCTCCAGCTTCTGAGAGATGCATTTTTATGGAACATATTAAAATGCTGAAGATTGAGTTTAGATTGCGATAATTTATTACATATAATTTAAAACTATAAGAGTCAAGGATCCTTAGTATAGCATTCAAATCAATGAGAAAAACCAAACACAAGTCAACTGATAAAGTCTCCAGAAAATGTTCAGGGACAGTCAACTGTGGGCAGAGCCAACAATGGCCCTGTATGTACTCATCAGATACAGGATACTAAGTAGGAACTAAGGGACCAAAGATTTGGCTCAGCAGTTAGTTAGGAGCATGCAGAGGATCTGGCATCCTCTGTCCCAAAAATACACCTGTAAGTCTAACTTTAGGGATCTGATGCCCTCTGCTGGATTCTTCAGGCACATGCATTCATTTTACACACACACACACACACACACACACACACACACACACAACTTAAAATTAAATAAATCTTTTTTAAAATGTGCTATTAAGGAGCTAGGGTGATAGTTTACTCAGTAAATTACTTGTCTTACATGAAGGCCTGAGTTTTAAGCCCTAGGATTTTAAAACTCCAGATGTGATGGTACATGCTTATCATCCTAGCATTGAGGAGGTAGAGACAAGCAGATCACACAGACTTACTAGCCAGTCCAACTGAACTGGTGAACCCCAGGCCAAAGAAATTCCCATCTAAATGGGGAATAAAAAGGTAGGAGAAAAAAATAAAGGAATGAGAACACATTTGATGATGTCTTTTCTCTGTCTTCCATGTGTACATACAGTACCCACATGGGTAACCCCTATATACAAATATGCACACATATAAAATAGGGATGGAATGAATGTTCTGAATTAAAAAGCATCTGAGCTTATGGTTAGAAAGAAAATCCTTATGTAATAAATAGTGCTTACTTGGTTTTCAATTTCAGTTGTATAGTAGGTATATACAGCAGAAGATGGATTCCAGAGGTCTTTGGTAAATTTTTCATTAATTTCAAAAGTGCCCCAAACCTCTATAAGAAATAAGGAAACAAAAGTCTTTAGACACAATAAATTAATAATTTGATTATATCAGCAGTATAAAATTATGAAAGTACAATTCAGAATCAATGAAAGGTATTTCTACTTATTTTCATAAAATATATTAATCTGGAATAATAAAAGGAAGAAAGAAAACCAGAATCTCAGTGCTTTTGTTTTAACAGTCACGGGAAAATGCTAGTGATCTAGATGAGTCACTCAATACTGTGTATGGTGTGTGTGTGTGTGTGTGTGTGTGTGTGTGTGTGTGTGTGTAGGAGATGGCTATTGTCTTTCTCAATTATTCTCAACCTTAGTTTTTGAGGCAGGGTCTCTCAGTGAACCCAGAGTTCATGAATTTGGGTAAATTAGCAGCTGGCCAGAGAGCCTGAGGATCTTGGAGTCTCTACATCCCCAGTTTTGAGAATGCAGACATGCACTACTGTGCCCATCTAAACATCCAAACTCAAATCTTCATGCTTATACACCATGCACTTTACTGACTGAGCCGTCTCCCCAGCCCCAAAACAACATCACAATACTGTTTGCTAATTCTTACAAGCCCTGTGCTTACCAGCTCAAGGCGAGTGCTCATCTGTATAGAGTTGGTCTCTCTGTGGACAACTCCTGTTCAGTCTTCGCCTAGAGTCTAATGCCAGCTGCTCTGGAAGCACCTCTCTCATCCCCTTCTACCTCAGAATTCCATCACTGCTTCCTCCATCTGGCTATACCTGTCTCTACAATGCTGTGGGAAACCCTTCATGAGCACATTACCCACCTGGGTGGATCAGAAATGGGCCTTCTTCCAAAATGTGAGCTTTCATTGGCATCTGGTGAAAACACTTGCCTTCTTGTCTTTCTTATATTACAACTCAGCCTCCTCCATTAGCCTGATGATTTATACATAGCAAGAAAAAATGCTTTGTGGCCTCTCTAAGGGTTTACTCTGGAACTGGATATGAACATGGTCTTTAATAGACATGTGATGCCATAACATGAATTTCTGTGGTCCTGGGAAGGGGAACTAGGCATGCCCAGTTTAGCTGGACTATTTCTAGCTCCTCACTCAATATTCCTTCATACCTAAAACCCAGAGCTTCAGGATGCCTAGAGCAGTCTTTTGGGAATCCCCTCCTCCCCCTCTTCTTCCTCCCCTACCCCTCTTCCTCCTCCTCTTCTTTCTCTTTTCCTTTCTCCTACCTTGAAGACAGAATCTTAAACTATTAGGCTGTCCTGGAACTCAGTATGTAGGCTAAGCTGGCCTCACACTGGGGGCAACCCCCTTCCTTGCCTCTGTCTCCTGGGTGCTAGGATTAAAGGCATGAGCTCCCATTCTCAGGGAATCTTCTTAAAGTCCACTAAGGCCTGGAGCCATGTCACTAGACTCATCTCATTCATCATAAAACAGAAACAGAAGCTTAAGTCAGCAGTGGCTTCCCTGGTCTCTTAGGCTATATTCAGTGTGTGTGTGTGTGTGTGTGTGTGTGTGTGTGTGTGTGTGTAACTTGGAACACATTTACTGCAATCCAGAGCAGAACTTTCAATATAATCACCAAGCGGCCCTCCTACATTCACACATCGAGAAATGAGGCTGGTAAAGAAGAGAAAAGGGAGAAGGAACGTGTTCTGACTCAGGCAGTTGCCTACTTGGATGATAGTGCATCTTTCCAAATCTCAGCAGAATCCTGCAATCACAGAGCTGAGCTGCACGAATCCAGAGATTGAAATGACATCCAAATGTCATCTTGTGGTTTGGAACTGCTGTACTGAGGAAGCTTTCACTGGGTCTAGACAAATCTAACAGGCTCTGTCTACCTCATTGCTACCTTCAGCATCAGCTGCCCTCAGCCAGGCAAAGAGCCACAGTGCTGTCCCTGTTGCATCCTGGGATGAGAGTACCACAGCCAAAAGATACTTACTTGCTCTCTCACAGAAACTAACACTCTGACTGAGGCCTTTGAGAGGGCAATTACAGCTTGGGAGGCGTCCTGTTGTGTGAAGGTAGCAGTTCCAGGGATCAAGGCAGGAGGGAGGAAACCACGTATAGCTATCTTCACAGGCACACTCCAGGAACCCCTTCAGGCTTCTGCAGTCTACACACAGAAAAGGAAACAGAATACAGTCTCACTGTGACGGCTTTGTGAATCAACTTCTGCTCATTCCTTTGCTCTGACTTGCTCTCAACTATGCTTCTCAGCAGAGCCTAGAAGGATGGCAATGCGTTTAAGACATGGAAATGTCCCACTCCACAGATTCTGAGGTTGGAGCAAAAATCCTAGCAAAGACAAAACCCAAATGGATTGGCTTAGCACCCAAAACAAGGCTACCGATCCCACTGGTATCTACTATAAGGGAAGGGAAAGGCAGAAGAGCATTGCCATGACATAGAGTTATTGAAAGACTCTGAAGGGAGGTTGACTGCTATCTCATTTAAGCCCCACCCATCCTACTATCAGCACTCCAAAGTAGAGCTGAAAAGCCACATGGGAGAGCTGAAGACATGCTTCAGTATTTAAGGTCTCTTGTTGTTCTGCAGGGGACCTGAGATTGCTTCCCAGTACCCACATGGTGGCTCACAGGCATCTAGGACTCCAATTCCCAGGGTTCTGAAGCCTTCTTCTGGTCTCCTTGGGCACCAAGCATACATGTAGTACACATATATGCATGCAGGCAAAATACTCACACATGCTGAGCATGGTGGTACATGCCTTTAATCCCAGTACTTGGGAGGCAGAGGCAGGTGGATCTCTATGAGTTCAAGGTCAGTCTGGTCTACAAAGCAAGTTCCAGGACAATCAAGGCTACACAGAGCCTTGGATGGAAAAAACACCACTTATACACATAAAAGTTTTCAATGTTTTAAAGCCTTAAAAAGGTAGAATGATTTGGAGGTGGGGTAATGATGAAAACATCTTCTAGTCAATGCTATGCATTTGTTATTTTGCATTGGATCTGACCGGCCCATCAAAAGTTTTTCCATCTGAACAGAAGGGGGGGTGGAGGGAGTGAGGACAATTCAGGCTATGCTTGAGAAACATACATGGAAGTGTGTAGTGAGTGCTCATTAAACTTTACCACACTTCGGGGGCCTCTGGAGTATTTTATCCCAGAGTTTCTGATCCAGCAATTCTGAAATGGTCTAAAGGGTTTACATTTCTATTCAGTTGCCTACTCCTGATGGTGGGGGTGATCTGGACACTTTGGGACTCACAGCTTTAGCCAAGTCATTAAACTTCTCTGGGAACCACTTTTGTGGTTTGAGTTACCAAGTATTTCTTGCTATCTTCTAGATACACACTGGGATTTCATATCCTGGCCTCGTGAGGCTGGATGGAGTCATAGAATAAATTCCATCCAATAAAATAGGAACAGAATTAGTGTCTCCCATTCTCAGCCAGAGAATGCCATTGCCTGGGTGAGGGCCTCCAGGGATAACCATGGACACAGACCCCCCTGCCCACAAGCAATGGGCATGTCCCACTAAGAAGAAACATTGGTTCTTGATGCCACAGAGCTTGTGTGTAATGGTCATTTCCCACAGCACAGCCTACTTACCCTGACTGGCCCTCCCCTCTCCCCAGTTATAACCCCCAGTCCCTGAAAAGCTAATTTACACGTTGTGGCCTTCGCTCTGATGATCTTGCTGGGCCCGTGTAAGCATCGTGATGGAGATTTCAAATGCTTCAGAAACCTTTTCAGTTCTCTCTTCTCCTCAAGATCGCTGTATGTCATCTGAATCAGCACCTCATACTCCTGGACTGGAAGGAGAGAGAGGTTATCAGAAGGTGTGTGTGTGGGCGGGGGGGGGGGAGATCACTTTGCAGTCATTACATCCTGCTTAGAGCTCCTGGACTATCCCTGACACTTGTCACTACATTCTGTATGTTCAGACATTGACTTAACATGTTTGCAAGCAGGCCTGCCTCACACATGCCTCATACGAATCTCTCCTCCTGCCTCTGCTAGCCCAATAGTTCCCATGCTCCCTACCCTGCCCCAGAGATTCAAGGGGAAACAGGCGTGTATATCCTACCCACCCTTTTGTCCTACGCTAGCTTTGGTTTCCTGGAAATATCCCCAACATAAAACCCCCAACCTTACCCTTTTCAAAGAACTCCTTTTATAAAGCGTCCCATTAATTAGTGGGAGTTTAGAGATTCGCTTGAAATACAAAAGCAAAACACAAGTAGACTTTAGCTTCTTTGTGCACACTTGCCTTCAGCTACTTATTTCTGAAAATAAGTAATTTTCCTTTCTTTCTCCCAAAGATGAGCCTTTTATACTTGGGGCTCTGGTGTCCTCGGCTTCCACATGCCAAGCCCAATCTTACCTTGGGCCATTGCATGTGCTGAAGGTTCAAATCTTATCTACAGTTCCTTGGGAGTATCCCTAGATGATGGGGAATAGGATAAATGTGACCCTTCTCACTTTCCTGGGAATAGTGGTACTCAGATAGGTCAGGTTAAAAATCCTGTCTTACAGCCTCTAGCTCTGGGCCCTAATTTCACCATCTCTCAATAAAGAGGCCATGAACAGTCAAAGTGTTAGTGTGATGGTTTAACTTGTATAGTAGAACTAAACACAGCCTGTCATAGTGACAGCCCAATAAATAAATACTTGCTGGGTTTTTATTGTCATTGTTACTGTTGAGAGGATCTTGTTTGTAGCATTCCAGGTTAAAGTTTTTGTTTTCTTTCCCTGAAGAACTGTAGTCTTACATTCTTCATGCTGTGACTAATACGTGGCTATATGCCATGTATGTGTATTTAAATGCATTGCACATGCCAGAATGCCTTTTGGGGACCTCTCTAGAACCTAGCAATCATCCGTGGGGATCAATGTTTTCATACGGAAATATATCCAGGGCTTCAGACATCAGGCCTGTGTGTTAACACCCACCACAGGACCCATCTCCAAGCTGAGAGCTCTGCCCATTAATTGCATTCATAGGAGGGGAACACAAAGGAACAAAGGACAGGCTCCTGTTGCACATGGCACATGATGCTCATCTTCCTTGTCAGCGTGCCTGGATTTGTAGTCACCTAGGAGACACACCTCTGGATAGGTATTTGAAGGAGTTTCCAGAGAGGTTTAACTGAGAAGTAAAACCCACCCTGGATGTGGATGGCACCATTCCATGAGCTGCATAAAAGGAAAGGGAGAGAAAGCAGGCTGAGCATCGGTATCCATCCCTAAGCTTCCTGAATGTGGGTACCTTGTGACCAGCTGCCTCAGGCCCCAGCTGCCATGCCTTCCTGGCATGATGGAGAGCATGGCCTCTTACATCATGAGCCCAAAGAAGCTGGTCTTTCACTGAAATGCTTTGGTAAGACACAGCAGCAAGTGTACCAACTACTATATGGGGTCTTTACTTAATCCTTAAAAATGCTTTTCTCTTAAGAATACCTAGTCTTCTCTCTCAATAGATTGGGATTATTTTATTCTGTGCCTAAGCCCACCTGGCAATTGCTGAGGTTGGAACCCTGTGTCCTCGGCATCAGTGTCCAAAGTACTAGGACATCTAGCAGGGTCTTACCTGGATGCCTTTTCTCAACCACACTGACATCTCGTTTTGTTTTGTTGGCATCATTTTTCTGCTAAAAAAGAAGAAGAAGAAGAGAAAAGAAAAAAAGAAGATGGTCATGATAAAGCTTTGAGATCTGCAAATCATAAGGCCCATTGAGTTTCCCAGACAAACTGAAATCATTGATCTGATATCCAAGCTGGGAGTGGTAACAGGTGGCCAAGAAAGGCCTTGCTGAGGCTGTTTTGAGCAAAGACCTGGAGAAAGTGATGGAGAGCCTGCAGGAAGAGCTTTGCAGGAGTTGGGATCAGCCCGTGTGCACGACAGTGCTGTGAATGTGCTCATCAGTAAGGGACTGGAGGGCATGAGGAAGTGGGTGAAGGGAGAAGAGTAGGAGGTAGGCCCAGGGTCCACAGCGGCTCGTCATGTATAGCCATCAGACCGCAGAAAGACTTTAAGTTTTTGTGGGAAGAGAAGTGTTGTTGTTGTGTATGTGTGCATGCATCCTACGTGTGTGAGTATATTAGTGAGTGCACCCATGTGCACATGAGAAAGCCAGAGGAAGCCATTGAATGTTTTTCCCTATCACTCTTTAGTTTATTCCTGGGAGACAGGGCTTCTCACTGCAGGGAATCTGGTCACTGGTTTGGCTGAACTGCCTGGCTCAGGGTCTGCCTGACTCCACCCTCCTGTACTAGGGTTACAGCCATGCCCAATTTTTTAAAGTGCATCCTAGGGATTCAAATTTGTGTCTTCCTGTTTGCAGAACAAGAGCTCCTCCCCGTAGGGACAGTGCTGCAGCCCTGGTTTTAGATTTTACCAGGGTGCGTTGTGCAGAGTTTGAGCAGGGGAACACAAGAATAGATCCACTCTGATTTACTTTACAGAAGTCTTGATCCTGACACCATGTTAAGAATGGCCAAGCATCTGGGGCTGCCACGACGCTACAGGAGCAACATCTTAAGAAAGCTATAGATGGATGTCTCGTTTCTGGAGATATTTAAAGTAAATTTTAAAGCTGGTCCACATATGCAACACTACAATACTCAAGCAAGGCACCATTTTTGCCCAGATAGAAAGAGAGTGGTGTCATGGAAAAGGAAGAGTAGTATTGAGAAACTTTGGGGTTCAGCTTGGGGGCATGTGAAGTTGAGAAGCACTCGTGTCCAAACTGACTACATCAATGAAGGGTTCAGGAAGAAGCATCCAGATGAGGATATACATTTGGGAATCATCAGTGAGTTGAAAATAAAATTCAAGTCATGATTCTCGATGAAAACATCATGAAAGTGAGTGGCCCATGGCTGGGTGATGGCTCGGTTGCTAAAGCACTCGCTGTACAAGGGTAAGGACCAACTAGAGTTTGGTCCCCAGGACCTATGTAAGTGCTGAGTAGGCAAAGTGACCTGCCTCTACTTCCAGCCCTGGAAGATGGACACACAGAACAAGTTGGTTAGCGAGAGTCACCGTATCACTGACCTCTGGGCCTGAGAGATCCTGCCTCAATAAATGAAGCGGGGAAACAATTGGGAAGGATTCCTAATATCAACCTCAGAAGTTCAAAGCCAGCCTCAGCTACATAGAGAGTTTGAAACCAGCCTGAGCTGCATGAGACCCTAAGCAACAATGTCAAAAGGAAAAGTGGGGATTAGAAAAGACAGAGAAGGTACACAGGTTGTTTGTGTCCACCCACAGGGTCTTCTGTGCCCAAGAAGCCATAGCAGAGACTGTGTTGAATTAGAGAAGATCTCCAAAATGGTTACATTTTCATGGAGGTCTTCATTTGCAATCCGGTCATTGCACTTCAGTGAGATGAAATAACTTATTGGAGACCTCACAGGGAATGCTAGTTACGCTGCGACAAGGACTTGAGACTTCTGAAGCAAAATCTACCAGCCTCTGTAGCTCGGTTGCCTGGAGAGTGGTAGATTCTGAAGGCATCAGGAAGGTGGAGAGGAGAGATGGTTGCCAAGAGAAACAGGACATGCACCAACTCACCTGCAGGAAGCCGTTGATGCCCTCGGTCAGAGTGAAAAGAGAGATGAGCCACAGCAATCCAACTCTCATTTCCAGGAGATCCTTCTCCCCGCTCTGGATTGAATATAGACACCCTGTGTCTAGTCACCCAGGAGGCTGTGTACTGAAACCAATATTACAAGATTGTAGGCAGGCACATTCAGCACCAGCCCCTTAAGTTTTACTGGAATATTCTTTTTTACCATGAAAATATGCAAGGGCTCTAAGAAGCACAAACATTAATGATAAATTTGGAGTGCTTAAACTTCAAGAAAACAACCAGCCAGTCTAGAAAGCTCCCTTCTTATTAGCTGATGGAGCCAGCAACAAATTGCTCTTATGCTTTTATTAATATTAAATAATTTGGACAGAATCCAATACATAAACATTGTGGTGATTTAAAAGAAAAACCACCCCTCGTAGGCTCTAGTGTTCGAACGATTGGTCTCCAGTTGGAGGCACTGTCTGGGGAGGTTTTAGGACGAAAGCACATCCTGGGGGCAGGTCTGGGGAGTTTATAGGCTCGCCCACTTCCAGTTTGTCCCCTCCGTTTTGTATCAGTGGTTGAATACATGATCTCTCAGCTTCCTGCTCCCAGCATCTGCTGCCTCCCTCACCAATACAAACTTTCCCTCTGGATAGTAAGCTAAAATGCATTCTTTCTTTCTTTAGTTGCCTTTGGCCATGGTGTTTTATCACAGCAACAGAAAAATAACTAATACAAACATGATTACAAAATTAATCTTTTATATCCAGGTTATTTATTTGGTGTCAAAGAAAAATTACACTGCCTTAATACTTAGCTACCAGGCACGTGAGGCCTCTACATTTTTAATCATAATGAAAATTCGGTTTCTCAGAGGAGGGCTGTAGCTCGGTGGTAAAGCACTTGCTGAGCATGCATGAGTTCAACCTGCAGTACACCAGGTTGTACACCACACACACACACACACACACACACACACACACACACACACACACACACACGACCAGTTTCTCACTTGCATTAACTGAGAAACATATTTTTGTCTTGCATTTTTGAGACAGGGCATCATGTAGCCCTACAGTCTTTCAGCATTTCTTTTGCAGCTCTGTAAGAAACAGTTTTAAAAATGGTCCCCAGGCTTGGTAATCCGCCATGGGAGTAAGTGTCCAGATCGCCAGTGAGTTGGGCTCCCCGACACTTACCTCGCTTCTTGCTGAACTTAATCTTCGTGTGCACACTGCCGTCCTCACCAGATGCCGCGCTCTGACCTAAAGAGGAAAGCATTGGGGATGGGGGAGAACTACTGTACCCGTGGCCTGTTTTCTAGGGCCTTCTGGGGCCTGCTACGGAAGCGGGAAACACATATGGTGTCTGTATCACCTTCTCTCTTGGGTAAAGGAATGGTCCTCTCACACCCGACCCTCTGAGATCTGTGACTAGATGAACCTGAAGTCGGCAACCTATGATTTCAGTCATTCTTTTGGGTTTTGGCTTATCTGCTCGAAAGCCTGTCTGCTTCTGCTGTGTTCACTGTTCTCCAAAGCTAATGGGTATTTGTCTCAGCAGTAACACAACACACACACACACACACACACACACACACACACACACACACACACCTCTGTGTCAGCATTTCAGGATTGGTCCAGGGCCGCTGAATATACCAATATCTGCACAAATCCCTCACTATACAATGGTAGGGCAGTGGTTCCCAGCCATTTCACCACAAGGGTCACATATGAGATATCCTGCATATCAGACAGTTACAATACAATTCACAGTAGTAGCAAAACTACAGTTACAAAGTAGCAATGAAAATAGTTTTATGGTTGGGGTCACCATAACATGAGGAAATATGTTAAAGGGTCACAGAATCGGGAAGGGTGAGAAGCAGGGGTAGAGTATCTGATAGTGACTCAGACATATCTTCCCAGAGAATCCAAGTGATCTCTAGATCATCTGGACACAGTGTGATGCAAGGCTATGAAAACAGATGTTAAATTATATTCACAGCAGACACATTACCCATTCACATTGACTTTTGGATATTCTCTCTCTCCTCTCTCCTCTCTCTCTCTCTGTGTGTGTGTGTGTGTGTATGAATGTGTGTGTCTCTGCATATGTATGTGTGTGTATCTCTGCATGTGTGTGTGTGTGTGTGTGTGTGTGTGTGTGTGTCTGCATGTTGCTCTGATAAAGTACCCTGACAAAAAGCAGCAGAGGAAGAGAGCCTACATTCAAGGTGAGTCCCGCCCGCTCACTTGACAGCCGAGACCACCTTCAGCAGACTCCCCTACTGGCCAATCCAACTGAGACAGTTCCTCAAGTGAGGCTTTCCACCCAGGTGACTCTAAGTTATGTTAGGGTGACACTTTAAGCTAACCGCATGCTGATTTCTAGGCAAGGTCTCATGTAGCACAGGCCTGTTAACTCACTATGCGGCAATCGGTGAGTATGAACGTGCAGCCCTCCTGCACTTGGGAACTTCTGAGATTACGGGTCTGCATAACCACACTATTGGGTATAACTGAACCTTTGATATTTCCCTTAATTTTATTTTATTTCAGTTTTATTGTTGTCAGGCATGTCTTCAGTGCATTACAGCCACACAGCACGTGGAGGAGGGACTGCCTCCTCCTGTCTTTTTCTCCACTCCCAGGAAGACTTTTTTCATTGGAATAGCTAGGTATTCCTTTGCCTGTGACTTGTGACCTGGAGCTGGCATGTGCATGTGTGTCCCGCCTGTCCCCTCTCTGTGTACCAAAGACCATTACTAAATCAAACACCTGGCCTCCCATGATTCCCCACAACTTGCTCTTCTCTCCTGCTAAGAACTCTTTCTCCATGTGCTGCCTGAGGCTGTAAACCCAGCTCAGAAAGCCTGGGTGACAGCTCTGGACACAGCAAGGAAGTCGTCTCTCCCGCTTCCTTATTCCCCTGCCTCTTCCTGTGGACTGCCTCTTGGAATTTTCCAGGAGTGGTTATCAGTGATGCACCGTCAAGGTTTGTGTTGGTCCATAGGCTGGTTGTGAACAGACGTACCATAAAGAAAGGACAGAAGGGTAGGAGAGATGGTTCTGTGGTTAAAAGCACTGACTGCTCTTCCAGAGAACTCGGGTTCCATTCCAGCACCCATACGGCAGCTCACAACTGTCTGCAACTCCAGTTCCAGGGGACCTGACACCCTCACACAGACATACATGCAGGCAAATGCGTATAAAATAAACAACCATTCTTTTAAATGCCTTAAGAAAGGAAAGAAGAGAAAAGGAAGAAGCAGCAAAGGAAACACAGAGGGGAAGGCTCAAGAATAGAAGAGGAACATTTTGGTACTCTTTAGAAAACACAGACATCCATATTTTTCCTAAAGACTGTTAAATCTTCAACAGGTCCAGCCTCGCTGTGGATATTATCAAAGGTATTCAGCAATGTCCATGTGCAGATGGATGTACTTCTGGATGATTTCTAGGCTAGGTAAGAGACCTACACACTTACCCTGGACCAGGTTTTGGTACCTGTGTTATTCTATTATGACAAAATATCAGACAAAAGAAACTTGAGTAAGGAAGGATATTTTGTCTCATGGCTTGAAGGTATAGTTCACCAAGTAAGGGGGACATGGTAGCCAGGGCTCGGTTTTCTGGTCACATTCCAGCCACAGTTAGGAGGCAGCCCTCATGCTGGTGATCAGCCTGTGTCATCCAGTGTTGGGTGCCAGTGCATAGGACAGTGTCACCCACATTCAAGGGTCTTCCCACCTCACTTAACCTAATCTAGAAGCCCCCTCATAAACATCAGAGTTTTTTTTTTTTTCTCCTTTCAGATTCATGTCAGTATTAACCATCACAGCTCCAAGGCTTGAACTAATCATCTTCCACTCTCTGGTTCCTTAATGTGTAGAGTTTGCTGTGCTGTAGGGTTGGATAATTCATTAAATAAAAACAAGAGACCCCCCCCCAGGGGAGGTATATCTGAAATTCAAACAGGTCATGGATAACATTTTAAGATAATTTTGCTCTGTGTGTACTTGAAAACATTCTCCAGTGTCACATAATATAAATTTGTCTGGAATTCAAATTGAACTGGGCATCCTGTGTTGGACAACAAGTCAAAGGGAGAGAAATGCCATTTCAAGGTAAACAGACTGAAGCAGGCTCTGTAGCTAGACTGCCTTCCTTTTGGTGTTGATGCTTACAAATGGATGCATATGGTATCCTTAGGCTTTCTATGATTTGTTTATTTACCTTTAAGATAAGGGAACCGGCATCTAATTCACAGGTTCTTGGGAGAGTCCAATGAGTTACCATATATAGAATGACCCAAACGGTAACCGCTGTCACCCAAACAGTAACCTCTGTCGTCCATGAAGATCAGCAATACCATTGCCCTTACTATTTCTACCTTATGGCCAGTTTGTGGTGCCCCTTGCCACATTGTGTCAGATTTTACTTGAACTTGATTCAAGTGATGTGGTCAGTTTGAAGGCCTGGCATGCTGAATGATCTTCCTTAAAGTAAAGTGTGTGTGTCTTTGTGTGTGTGTATGTGAGTGTGTGGGAGTGTATGTGGGAGTGTGTGTGTCTGAGTGTGTGTGTGTAAGTGTGCCTTTGTGTGTGTGAGTGTGTGTGTGGGTATGTGAGTGTGTCTTTATGTGTGAGAATGTGTGTGAGTGTGTGAGTGTGTCTTTATGTGTGAGAATGTGTGTGAGTGTATGTGGAGTGTGTGTGTCTGAGTGTGTCTTTGTGTGTGTGAGTGTATGTGAGTGTGTGTGTGTAAGTGTGTGTTTGTGAGTGTGTCTTTGTGTGTGTGAGTGTATGTGAGTGTGTGTTTATGTGAGTGTGTCTTTGTGTGTGTGAGTGTATGTGAGTGTGTGTTTATGTGAGTGTGTCTTTGTGTGTGTGTGGGTATGTGTGTGTGTGAGTACGTCTTTATGTGTGTGAGTGTATGTGAGTGTGTGTGTGTCTGAGTGTGTATGTATGTGAGTGTGTCTTTGTGTGTGTGAGTATATGTGTGAGTGTGTGTGTGTGTGTGTGCAGTAACCACACACATCCTGCTTAACTGCATTCTTAGACATAAACCTC